AGTCTTACCATCAGATTGCGGAAGATAAGCCGTATAAGTGCTTAAAGTAGCCCCATGAATTGAAAAAGCTCTTACAATAGCTTGCTAGTAAAGATGAGGTCCCTGTCACTCACTATGTCAGCTGGCATCCCATATAGCTTGTAGATGTATTCCATAAATAACTTAGGAAGTTCACTGGTATGTATGGATGAGTTAGGGCAATAAAATGGGCATATTTAGTTAGCCTATCTACCACTACCCAGATGATTGACCTCCCTTTTGACTTAGGAAGCCCTTCGATGAAGTTCATGTTAATGCTACTCCAAGCAATAGCAGGTACAACAAGAGGTTGAATTAATCTTGGAAAGGCTGAATTGTCACATTACTTATAAAAGCAGTGAAATCTTCCTTTAAGTTCTTCCAGTGCAAGATAACTGACACTCTTTTGTAAGTATTTTCAATTCCAGAATGTCCCTCTTGAGAAGAGGAATTTTAGATTCGAAGAATTTCAGTTCTTAGGGTATAATCAGAACACACCACCAGTTTTTCATTTCTCTTAAGCTGTTGGTTGATGAAACTGTATCCCTCATGATTCCCTGCTTGTCCTTGTAGCTGTTGTATGATCTCCTGAACTACCAAATCATCTACCCAACTATCTATGATTGATTGCAACAAATTAAATTTTTTTGCACAGTAGACAAAGTCAAGGAAGCTAACTCTAATGCAGGCGCATCTGCTCAAAAACTCCAACCGATTGGTTCTATTATTTGGTCTTTGCTGAATGGTGGTATAATACCACCTTTCACTCTTCTATTCATTGCGCATCTCATAAAGCTCTCCCCCTCCGTTTTATTAACCTTATATAGCTGGGAATTTTGATTATGAGGAAGTGAATAGGAGTCTAATTAATTAACATAGAGTGAAAAATACAGCTTCTCAAGTACCACTTGGTGAGGTCACAACAGAGGATGGTTTCCCAAGCTAATAAGCACAGAACTGATAAGCAATTTAACATTGAAAGTTGGGTGTTCCTGAAAATGCAGCCCTATAGATAGATCACAGTGACCGCACATCACTCCTACAAGTATTATGGACCTTACTTGATTATTGCTAAAGTAGGACCTGTTGCCTGTATTATGGACCTCAATTCATCACAAGTCTTCATCTACTATTTTCTTACACAAAAAATATAGATAAAATAGAAAATACGAGAACTTTTGCCTTAAAAATATCTACTACTCCTTTCCAACTAAATGTTCCACATGATACAAAGAGGGGTGATTTTCCAGATCTTGATCCTTCTTGTACCCAGTTGCCGACCTTTTAGTAAAGCTCTTATACTATAAGGCATGACCATTTTACTTCACATATATTTTGAAATAGATCCCATAGCTGTCTAACCTGGAGGAAAATTCCTTTCTCTATAGCATATCATGAGGCCTATCTGCTAATTGCTATCCAATCTACTTTATAAGGAGCCTTAGTCTTCCATATATAATGGTAGACTGTTCGTTAATAAGGATAAATATATGCCACTTTTGTGAAGGCAAACACACAAATAGCTCCACATATTAATGAAATACAAATTTAGACTATTTCAGACAGTACATAGACAAATTTGAATGATATAACAACTTATGAAAAGAATTGGTATAAAAAACCCCTACTTTTAAATACTGGCACCCTATTGCCAAATTCATGTTTTTTTCATACGTTTAGTTGGTATTTTTAGCCAAAATTATTTTTATGCAGAATTAAAAGAAACGTACTCCCCTCTCCCCTCTCCCTCTCCCTCTTTAAGCTCTTGTTCTTTTTCTTCCCCAAATTTCACTCCATATTTTTCAGTCCCCCAAATTTCTTTCTTTTCCGATAACTACTCTGTCAGGTTTCCTCTTAATCTTTTTATTGGGTAATTCACTACATCTAAAATCTTTTGTAGAATTAACCATAGCATATTCTTTGCAACTTGAAAGATGAGTAAAAATTCAACCTCTAAGAAATCAAAATCTAAAGCTACAGTGGTCAAATCTCTCCATCTCTTCATGTAGATGATGACTCTGATTTCGAAATTTCGGTGTTAAAGGTGTCGCATTCACCACATGCAGTAGATATTCGACATGACAATTAGGTTCCATTTCATTCAATAGTATCCGAAAAATCTCTGAAATTTTTCTAAGTTATTTTTCTATATATATGTATGTATGTATATATATTTGTATAATACACACACACGCACAATAATAATTATATTATTTGTATAATAATAATAATAATATGTATAACAAAAAGTATATCAAAATTTTATTTTCCTTCTTTGTATAATATATTTCTTATTGAAAACTCAAGTTTTAAGACGACTCCAAATTGTATCCCGTGTATATCTCCATGTACATCAGTAATATCTCATGTATATCATGTGTATCTATGTATATCCATGGAAATCGGTGTTATATACATGATATAAAATATGATATACACAAGCTTCCATAAAATATTATGTTACATACACGATATACAAAATAATATACACAGACTCCATAAAAACCCATATGTGATATACATTGATGTATACGATATACAATTGATATACACATGTCATAGTTGGATTTTTAAGTCTGGGTTTTTTTACATGAAATCACTCTAAATCACTTCTATCTTGCTCAAATTTTGTATATAATCTCGTCCAGGTATTTTTAATCAATTTCAATCACACACACTCGTTTAATCCAACAGAGAGAGAGAGAGAGAGAGAGAGAGAAAGAGAGGAAAAACAAAGTTGAACTCTATTTTTTCCTATTATCTTAGTTTTTGCTTCTAAACTTTTTTAAATGTGAGAATCTTACCTTTTCATCCCATTGACTTTTTTTTGCATAATTTATAAGTATTTTTACTAAAACATGAGAGAGAGGAAAAATAGAAGAAGAAATATAAGGAGAGAAAAAGAGAGGGAAAAGAAAAGATACATAGGTTAGGGGGCGGGGGCGGGAGATTATAAAGAGAAAATAAATATGACGTATTTTTTTTTGAAATTTGGCTATATAATGTCAATTTTTTTGGACTTCTACTGCCAAACTAAATTTAAGGGAAAAAATGCCAATTATACTAATGCATTATTATAGAGGTTTTTGCATGGTATAACAACATACACATATAATTGGCAGTTAGATATTGGTATCAATAGCCAATAAATGTATATCACAATAATAATATGTATATCACAACTTATTTTCTTCTTCTTTGTCTATATCAACATGTATATTAAAATTTTATTTTCATTATTTGTATATAAATAATATTATTCTTTGTATATCAATAATATAAAATTATATATATAGTTATTGCTGCCTTTTTATCAATGTATATCACAATAAAAATATTGTATTATTTGTATATCACAGTGTATAGTACAACGGATATGTGTATACAACTATGATATGTGATTGAACTGAGTTTTCAATCTGAAATGTGTTATACAAAGAAGGAAAATAAAATTTTCATAAATGTTTTTTTATACACCAATGTTTTAAAAGGCGGGGGCATAAGGCGAGGCATTTTACCTTTGACAAGACGAGGTGTAAGCCCTGAGACATGCGGCATAAGTCCCACGGATCTTTAAATTTACTAATTTTAAGAATTCTAAGATAATATAAAATAAAAATAATTACAAAAATTACATTAAAATAACAAAATTATAACAAATAATCTATTTAAAATATTCATAAATTACAATTTAACTATGAATAATACAAAAAGTTTGACATATATTATAATATTCAAATTAGCTGCAACATCGTTACAACTCAAACATCAAAAGTACGTATTTGATGCGAAATCTTATATGTATCTCTTAAGGAGTAATGAATCTTGAAAGAATTTCGATACTATAATTCGATATTTTTTTAAAATACTCCTTTAATTTAATATGTTTTCTATTTAAAAGAGAATTTATATCAAAATATTATTCAAAAATTAAATATGATTCTCTAGCATCATTTATTTTTAAGTTTCAACAAGTTAATAAAGTGACACATAATTCACCATACTATATCATGATAACTAATTATTTGTAAATACTAGCTAATACTGAGCTATTAAATTAATAAGTATTGTATTTCGTAAACATGAAAAATAATATTTAGAAAAATAATTATAAAAAAATTATGGACTAATATAAAAACATAACAAAAGTAATAAAAACTTTTAAATGAAAGCTTTATTTAAAATTTACTATCAAATCAATCTTATTGGATAACGTGCAATAAATTTTATTTTAACTATGACATAAAATACTCTCAACTTAATGATTTATGATTAAGAAAAAAAGTAATTTTGAATAGTTAACGATTTATTAAGAAATTTTGAGAATTTACAAGGTTAGTTACACATAAATGCACATAAAGACAAGACAGCTTAAGCTTCACTGAAAGAAGAAAAACTTTTTTCATTCTTTCATCCATACCTTCAGCTGGCCATCATTCTCTGGCAAATTCTAAAGCTTTCGGATCTGTTGTGGATAATTCCAGTTCCAAATTGATGCCCTGTCGGGAACAGAAGGAGCGAATCTCTTTCTCTTTACTTACGCAATTTCGGAAGAGTCTAGTTGATAGGATTCACTCACAGGAAGAATTCAAGTGAAATTGTTTTTGAGTTCAAAGAAGACGCCTCCAACTACTTAGGGGAACCCACTCTTCTTCCTTGCAATTTGATAACTTTTTGTCCCTCACCGGAACACAGGCTATGAATATTGGCGAGGAAATTATAGGCTTTGAACATAGGCAACGAATATTGATGCCCATGAAGAGGTAATCATTCCATCAATAAAGACTTCAAACTAGGCCAAGAGAACTATACCTATGCTTCTATTCCCTTCACTGGTGGATCGACCAGTTCACTGGCATCTGGAGCAGTATATGTAAGGTATGCCACTAGAACTAGACCAGGTGCTCGTTAAAAAGGCTACAAACCAACGGGCTATCGCTTTGTTGAAATTGATTATGATCGAAGTAGCGTACGGGATGCAT